ACAGGTCAGTACTCACCCTCAGAAATACTGAGCGTAACCTCCGCCATTCGGAAAAGACGAGTGTCTTCATAAAGCGCACACCAGTACACGCCGGAGTCCAGTGCCTGCAGCTTCTCCATGGTGATGGTGACAATCCCCTGCTGGGTGTCATCCTGGATCGTGACTCTGCCTTGCTGAGGTGTCCTGAGGTACCCCAAAGGCTTCTTATGCGTGCTGACCAGTATGGTACATGGTGGTTTGCCAGCTCCCTCTTTGCACCAGACTTTGCTCACAGTGCCATAGTCTGGGGCGCTGTACGGACAGTGGACAGAGACATCGCCTGACTCCTTGGCTGTGTGGTTTTGGGTCCCTGGAAAAGAGCCGGCATGTTTGATGAGCTGCCAAAGCAGCACAATGGCACCCCTTCCCCATCGCTGGAATACGTGCTGCGGGCTGAATGCTGCTGGATGTCCTTCTACCCCCGGCCATGAGGAGCAGAAGGGGACTGGAGCCAGATTACTTGTGCAGAGGTGAGCCGCAAATTGGGCAGGGTCCTGTCCCCTTCCTTTGGTTGCCCCAGGGACCTCATGCTCACAGGGGCTCAGCCCGTAGGGTCTGGGAGGCAAAGACGAGGGAGTGCTGGCAGCTGTGGGGCCAGAGCAAGAGCAACGCCTGGCAGTGCGGGAGGTCTCCAGCAGCGCTCAGCATGGTCCAGACCAGTGCTCAGCTGGGGAAGCTGCTCCTGGAGCCCCGGGATCGACCCTGTGGGAAGCAGTTGTGAAGAGTGGCTCCACTTGTGGGAGTTCCTGGCAACCTCCCTGGAGTCTCGGCTGGGAGCGGACAGTGGATGAAGGGCCAGGCCCGACCTCTGACTCCACAGGCCCAAGGGCCTAAGACCAGTGTGTCCGTCAGAGAGACAGACAGACAGGGAGACATAGGTGTCAGCTGTACGGCAGCAGCACTGGACTGCTCGCTACTGTGGCGCAGGACGGGAGGGAGAACAAGGAGGGTGGTGAGGCTGAAATCTGCCAACAGGCAGGTTGGATGCCGGTAGCTACTCACTTTTGGACACAGAGAGCTTGAACTCCATTATGCGGGTGGGAGAAGAGCCTCTGTAGAGTGCACACCAGTACACGCCGCTGTCCTGGGCCTGCAGCTTCCTCATGGTAACGGTAACAGTCTTTTTCCAGGTGTCATCCTGGATCAGCGTTCTCTCTTCCAGAGCTTTGCTGTTGCCCCGTGTTGAAGGGTAACCTGTCCTCCCCACGACTTTACACCCAGTCTGGCTGTCCCTTCGACACCAGACTTTTGTCTCCGTTCTGTACCACAGGGTGCTGTATGGGCACTGCACAGAGAGACCGTCCAACTCGCTCTTGTGCAGCTCTGGGAAACAGCACACGTGGTCAGTGACACACGAGCGGTGGGCACACGGGCATCCTCCCCCAGCCCGATGGGGGCACCTGGGCCAAAGTGTGCCCTGGGCAACTCCGTGACGCACGGCCCATCAGTCAGGGCAGGGCTGAGATGGGCAGGAGAAGGGGGAGTGGAGAGGCTGCGGGGCCAGCCGGGTGTGTGGGCTCCGTGTCACAGTGCCTGTGTGAGCGGGGAAGGCGGGGAGCGGGGCTGGGGAGATCGGGGGAAGCCCCTTGGCTGTGTGGGAGTGGGGTGGACAGAGCTTAGGAAAGAATGATGTTGCTTTGTGACAAGACTTGAGTTTGTGTGGGGAAAAATGTACTCACCCTTGAAAACATTCAGGGAGATGGTCCGTAGGAGAATAAACCTGGAAGTGCCGGAACGGTAAGCACAGGAGTATGTGCCCGAGTCCTCTGCCTGGAGATTGGTCATGGTGATGAACACATTCCTATACTGGTGGTCATCCACTATTTTAACATTCCCCTTTGTGGCCTCGGTTGCATATGAATATTGTGTTGGATAGGTTGTTTCCACTAAGGGCTCACATTCCTTATCTCGCAGGCGGCACCAGGCTTTCTGCTGGACGTAGTCAGCCTGTGCTGTGTAAGGACACCAGATATGCAGAGTGCTTCCTTCTGATTGTCTCTCCTCGGCATCAGGTGTTTGGGCTTGGAGACCTGTGAATATCAGCTGTGGTGAGGGAGAGGGGAGCTGATGCAGGGCTGCCCACAGCCTCCTGACAGACACAGGGAAACTCTGCCTCCGACCTTCCCCCACAGGCAATTGTGGCTGGAGGAACTCTGAAAGCTGAGATCCATTTCTCCTGCTCAATTCCCCTGCTTGGAATGGGGGGGGTTGATTTCTGGTGGGCAGTGCTGAGATTTGAGCTGGGTCCACAACTCTGATTTAAAACCCAGTATCGTTGACTTAGAACCCAGACACGCGTGTTGGCCCGTGAAGCCTAAATGGAGCCGCGTGTGGCGCAGTGTCCGGAGCTGCCCCAGCAGCCCAGCCTGTTGTTACTGCCCCTTGCCGCAGGCAAAATGGAGACCAACCCTTCCCCACACCGGGGATGGCAGTGGTGGGGCTCAGTCGCCTCTCGGAGAGTGGCAGGTTCTCCCTGGCAGCTGGGTGGCCCGCTGCGTGGAAGCAATCCCTGCCCCCAAGGCTTTACCCACCATCACTTCGTGATGAGCTGGGAGGAAGGTGGTGATTGCTTGGGCAGAGGGAGAGGAAGGGACAGAGGGAGAGGGAAATAGAGGGGAGCGAGGCCGGTCTGGTGGCAGATGCCACAAGAGGACAGGTGAGCCAGACAAACGTGCAGATCAATGTGCATGCCATTTTGAAGGGTACTCTGTCCTCCCCACGACTTTACACCCAGTCTGGCCGTCCCTTCAACACCAAACTTTTGTCTCCGTGCAGTACCCCGGGGCGCTGTATGGGCACTGCACAGAGAGACCGTCCAACTCGCTCTTGTGCAGCTCTGGGAAACAGCACACGTGGTCAGTGACACACGAGCGGTGGGCACACGGGCATCCTCCCCCAGCCCGATGGGGGCACCTGGGCCAAAGTGTGCCCTGGGCAACTCCGTGACGCACGG